ATGAGGTGGTGGCTGGGATTGCCCTCGTTTGAATTGGCCAGGTTACCTCCAGATACTCGTCTGCTAAAACGGTCATTGGTGCTGTGACTGCCCGGCAACGGTCAAATGTCTGTACCCAGGCAGGTCGCGACAGACTCTCTCCTCTATCAGGACCTTACAGCAGTGACTTCCGGGTGAGTATCCGTCTGATACCGTGACAATCCGACTGCCTACGAGTCGTCCTCTGATTTTGCCATCCCTCTCTTGCCGCCGCCCAACTCTCGGCCCCGACATTGCTTCTCTCACCGCCTGACTCGGCTTGAGCAAGCAACCCAGATGCCTGGCAGTGGACTTCCGGCCTCCTGTGGCAACACAACAGGAGAGCCCTCCCTCCCAGCGGCAAACCAGTCTCAACTCCTATTTTGTCCCGAGTCTGCAACCTGAAGCCCGTCATGCGCATGTCGGGCATCCCGACAGTCGGACCTCGCCCGCAGCGACCCCTCTCTCTTGCTGCCCGGCCCTGTGTGATGTGCCTATGTCCTACGTATCCGTCTGCACGTGGCAGCCATAGTAGACTTAGGTAACATGGAGCCTCTCGTTCCCCTCAGGCGTCTTTTAAAGGGTCCTGCCATACTTGTCAATATCCGCTAAACGATTGGCCCTCCTGTATTGCCCTCGCTGTTCAGACGAACGTTCAGCGCTCCCCGACTCCCCTCAAGACATTCCGTTGACGTTGGCTGAAAGTGGGCTTCGAGAACCATTTGATGCGCATTGATAGGCTAATCTGACCACGGGAATCTCAAATCTGTGCGGCCCTTGTGCTTGAGAGGGGAACTGGTGGATTCGCAAGCGCTTGGACGAGGTTTGCCGATAGTTGTCTAGGGAACACAACCCAACCCTGAAGCCCTTCTCCCCCACCATCACGCCCATAACTTCGCTCACCGCTCTGCAACATAAGCAACTTGCGGCCTTGTTCCTGTCACTTGACGATTCAGTCAATCATCAGCGCCGATGGTTTAGTGGTAAAATTCTCCGTTGCCATCCAGCAGCGTCGGGGAGCCGGGGGTTCGATTCCCCCTCGGCGCAACTTTTGCTTTTGCTCCCTCCCTAACGCTCACCGGAGTTGTACAGATGTAGATGATGATGACCTCAAGCAGTTCAGCAGGTGGTTTTGTTTTTTTACGTGTCACTTGAAATAGCAGTGGTCAAGACTGCAGACCTTATTCTCATAAGAACTAATAGTAATGCTGGAGTGTATAATCTTTCAGAGCGGTAAGTAACGTGTATCCCATTGCTGTCTATCACAGTTGAGATGTAGTAAACGTGCTACGGTAGGCAATGCGAACAACTTGGACGGTTGACATGTTCTATGTTGAGGAATAAATGAATGAATAAAGTCTAGCCCAGCTTGCTTCTAGCAAGCAACCCGAACGCCATCAATCTTACAAAACGTAAAAATCAAATCGTTGCCGTTGTTGTTTTCCTTTCTGGTATCCCAAACTGCTGCCATAGAGCAGTCAATTGTTGAGAAGTAATCATGTCGTATTTCTGCCAAACCTGTGCAACGGATTTGTGAATCACAAATAGTATCCCCAAAAGCCATAAAGCTGCTAGAATGCGCATCACTAACTCATTGAGGAAACGCCGGAAAGCAAGAGGGCCTGCGCGAAGACGTTTAGCAAGGGATGTCTTCGGTTGCAGAGTCATGGAGTACTCCATCAGAGACCATTTGAATACCTCGTCGTCGGCGTCCGGATCCATCAGCCCGAGATAGTAGACCACACGAGTGTCCGCAAGCGTAGTGACGGTATGGCCAACCGCCTCTCCGTCGCACTCGACTGACTTGATAATGTCCAGACGAGGGACCACGCATATCATTACCCTCGCAATCCTAGCTGGCGATGCGTTTTGAGTATTTGATCCCAAGGCCGAGGAGGCGTCTGCAGAGGCCGCAAGAGCGCGTTGGAGCCCTGCTGGACACAGTTCGATCTGGTCAGGACAGTACTGGTCGCCCGGGTGAAGCCATGTGAACTCGAGCACGGAAGAAGCACGCTGCTTGTGCACGGCGAACCAACAGGCATATGCCAGACAGTTGTGTATCTCCTGGTAGATCGTTTTGATGTCGGGCATGTCCTGGTCTGGTGGCCATGTTCGTCTGACCCAGTTGAGTACTGGGAAGATGAGCGTTAACAGCCTCATGGCTACCTTGTCAACACTCGGCCAAAAACATTGCGGCATGCCGTGAGAGTGGCCGAGCATCATCTCCACAAGTGTTGATCTGAGCCTTGAGCGTCGGATGCCTACAGGTGACTTCATTAGCGATTCTGTTCAATTCAATAATGCGCAAGCTTGGCTCACCTCCATCGTGACAATAGTCAGAGTCCTGAGCATGAAGCTGCTCGGCCTGTTTCTTGGTCGCCCCGAAAAGAAGCTCCGAGAACACTTGCTCTTCAAGGACTAGCATGATGACGGCCCGCATCACGCAGAACCGTTTAGCCTTGCTTGTCATGAGGTCCTCCCACGGAGTTGGGTCCATTGGGTCTGGCCGGGCGACCATGCCGACGATACGCTCAAGATGGAACTTTTCGCCATGATATTTGCGGGTTGCAGCCCAGACGGAACCATCTGGAGGAAGATCTCCGCACCTGAAGAGATTTTTGACCAGTTGCTTGATATTGGAGGCAACAGAAGCATAGTGTTCCGTGAAGAATTGGTCGTCTAGTCTCTGAGATGGAGTGATCCATTGCAAGTCGAGGCGTCCGGGCTCAAAACCGCGCAGGTCGTCCAGATTTAAATCCTGCCTCCGAGGCAAAGGAAACAGGGGCGGTATATGCTGGCCACTATTGTTCCTTGGTGGTTTTGAAGCATTCTTGCTTCCTTGTGAGTTCGAGGAAGACATGGCACGAGCGCACCTAGTGAGTTCTGACGCTAGCTCTTGAATATTCTGACGGCAAAACTGACGGGCTGTTAGACTTGAGTGTAGATGTTGGTTGTGATACTGATTTGCATATTCGCTTTGGGCGCGAGCACGAACTTAAGAAGGATAGGCAATAAATCCAGCAACTCAGTCCTATTCATTGTTCTCGATCTCCTCAATGACGGGCTTCATCACGAGAGCAATGTTCTTTCTTGAACAGTCAGCCCTCTTTGAATGCACAAAAGGCAGATGTCATCTTTGTGCCCTGCTTGAACACAATCTTCCTCGCTATATCGACCGCGTTGAGATGGGAAGCACGATGATCTCTTGGTCAAGTAGCAAGAAGCCGCCGAAAAATGGCCAAAGAAATATCATCAACAAAGGCGGCCATGTTTCTCGCCGCCCTGCATTCTTCAGCCACAGAACACGAACGGAAGCGGAAGAAGAAAAAAAAGTTTGCCCTGATTTATTCTTTTCAGGGCAGTAAGGGTGGCCTCTCAATATCATTCGACGAACTACGTCCTTGCCCGAGATGGCAACATGAGCCGATGTTGACCTGGGGCAGATCCCCTGAGGCTTGTTTCGACGGGAGTACCCTTCGTGTTTCAGCCGTTGTCTCCGTCGGCTTCTCCACGCAATGGGCGATTATGTGCGGGAGGTAGCAGGAGAAAGTCCAGGCTAAAAAATGAGGATTGACCAAGTGAGGTCAAGGTGTATTGCAAGCAAAAGCTGAAAGTGCGGATTGACTCAGGTCGAGTAAAGTGCATGGATGGATCACCTAGGTTACTTTGGGAAGGGAAAAGCTTCTGGAAAAGTTCGGTGCAGCCCGACAAGAAAGACGACGCTCGCACCCCGAAGACGAAAAATAAATCTCGAAACAGGGGTGCGTCCTTGAGCGTAGGAAGGGGCAGGAGAAGGGGCTGAAAATGAGTCGGTTCTGGCAAAGTCGCCGTTGAGAAGCTTGCAAGGGACATGTAGCTGGCAAACAAATCAACAAGACATGATACCTGGCTGTGCTCCCTCTCTGAATGCTGATTGTATTCTTTCTGTACAACCTGAGTAATGATAATTTTGCATTGGTGGCAGGCGTTGACCAAGGAGCGTTGAGCACTGCAGGGCTTAAGCCAGACAAAGAGACACGGATTGGATGGCATCAAACTTTGAATTCCAAGTCTCTCCTGGGCAGCACCGCCCTGACAGACGTGACGGCCTGGAAGACGGCCCAAGGTCTGGTCCCAGTCAAGGCCAGGTTTACGGAAGTTTAAGCAGCCCAGTGGATGCATCTTGCTCCAATGGCCTCGCCTGTCGGATGACAACCTTGCCCGCTAAGAAACTGTGTCGTGTGGTGAGTGGTGACTGGCGAGGAGGTCCATTGCGCATCGCCCTAACAACCCACCGACTGTGTGGGAAGGCCCCGCGGCGTAGTGGTGAGTCTGACGGAATGAGCCAAGCCTTTGGCGAGCTGTGGGCTACGGTGAGGTGGGCGGGACCTGGGTATGTACCTAGGTAGGTAGGTGAGGTACCTGGGCACCTTGCCTGGCCGTGGGAAACTGCTTCACTCCGACGTACGGCAGGCAGGGCAGGCTAACAGGCTCAAGAGCGAGTGCTTTGTCCGAATAGGTACCACACCCGACTTCCCGTCAGAGGTCTAAACCCCACTTTTTATTCTTCCATTCGGTTGGCCCGCCCGCTTGGGCATTTTTTTGCGACTGAAAGCACCACACTGCTCGAACCGTGACTGCTGAGCGCAATCCTTCGCAAAACCTCATCGCAACTTCCTCGTCCACGAGAACGTCACCTTCCGTTTCTCACCTTAATCACTCACCGAGCCTGCCTATATCCGCTGACGTGCCTGGCGCAACGTCGGAAACCCCGCATACTTGGAAGTAGTCAACTGTGAACCCCCACGGTACCTTCCCAACAGCGAGCAAACCGTCCTCACGAGCGGAATCCTCCCACTTTCCTCCTCGAGTCGAAATACCCTCGTCGACCTCGCCCCTCTCCTCTCGCGTCGTCAACCTCCGTCGACATCTTCGCACACATACTCGCCCGTCCGAGTGATACTCAGCTGTCACAACCTCAAAAACATCAACACATCTTCACAATGGCGACCTCCGTGCAAACGCCCACAAACCCCGACCAGCAGGTCGACCTCTCGACCATCCCCATCTCCCCCGAGGGCGCCGAGAAGAGCACCGAGACCAAGGAGAACGATACCGACAAGGACATCACTGTCTTCCACGACAAGGACAACTTCAACGTTAAGCACCCACTTCAGAACAAATGGACTCTCTGGTTCACCAAGCCCCCCAGTGGCAAGGTTCGTACCTTCTTGTTGCAAATGTCGACAAGTTTCACCGCCTAACTTTGGAAATAGGGTGACAACTGGAATGACCTCCTGAAGGAAGTTATCACCTTTAACTCAGTGGAAGAATTCTGGGGTGTCTATGTACGTGCAATCTGCTTCCCTATCCCTCACGACCCCGCCCCCCATTGACAACGTAATGACAGAACAACATCGCTCCCGTCTCCGAGCTGGCCCTCAAGTCCGACTACCACCTTTTCAAGGCTGGTGTCCGCCCTGAGTGGGAGGACGCTCAGAACAAGCACGGTGGCAAGTGGTCTTACCAGTTCAAGGAGAAGCGTGCTGTTCCTATCGATGACCTCTGGCTGCACGTGATGCTGGCTGCCATTGGCGAGACTCTGGAGGGTGAGGACGACGGCGAAGTCATGGGTGTCGTTGTCAACGTGCGCAAGGCTTTCTTCCGTATCGGTGTCTGGACTCGTACTATTGGCAAGAGCATTCCCGGCCGTGGTGACGGAGATGTGGCTGGCGGTAAGGGACGTTCCCAGGATAAGGGCCGTGAGATCCTCCTGAACATCGGCCGCCGTTTCAAGGAGATTCTGAACCTGCCCCCCGGTGAGAGCGTTGAGTTCTCCGGCCACACGGACAGCGCACACAGCGGAAGCAGCCGTGCCAAGGCCAAGCACACTGTCTAGACGGACACGAATTCGAACAACACGACACACGACTTTACCCTGCATTTTACCGGACTTGTTGGCTTCCTCCTCCTTCGAGAAGAGGCCAAATGCGTCTACATGATATCACTCCTCGCATTTCTTAAGCCAACCTTTTGTGTCTGATGCTGGTGGGGAACACCAGGTATCGGGCGTTGCTATGCATCAATGATAACGCATTTCAGGGACGGAAAAGGTTTTCTTATGATAGTCTTGGGAGCCCCGATGAAGGCGTTGCTGAGAAAACAAAAATGGCTTTACTTCTAGACGGCCACGATCGATAGTACATAGGCGGACGCGAATCGGAATAGATACCTAGGTTTTAGGCCAGTCGCCATGTCCCCTATGTGAGGCGCTTAGACTTGCGGACATTGCGTCGGACGTCCTACTTCCTTTCACCTTGAGTGACAGCATGCAAGTTGTACTAGCTGACAGGGAACATAATCGATGACGAGGTCGGCAGAATCACCGGACTATTCAACATGAGCGCCGTTGGAACAATTCGTCCCAGCTTGTTCGGACGATCGTGTGAGGGTGGCATGTCTTCTTTTCTCTATCTCAAATCTATGGTTCCCCTACTCGAACAAGTGTGTACCTGTCTACGGATATATGTGCACAGCAAATATTATTACATTTCATCACCGCTAAACTGGTCTTCAAACACGGCCTGGACCAGTTGCTTCTTGTTAATTTTGCCCATGGCGTTTCGCGGGATGTGGTCGACGACCTTGAGGACCTGCGGGATCTTGTAGTTGACAAGCCGATCTCGGAGGGCCCTGCGCATGGCCATGGGCGACCAATGCGGCACGACGTCCTTGTTGAGGATGACGACGGCGCCGACCTTGCTGCCCCACTTGCCCGAGGGGACGGCGACGACAGCGGCCTCGGCCACCTCGGGGAGGGACAGCAGCTCGCGCTCGACCTCGAGGGCGCTGACCTTTTCACCGCCCGTCTTGATGATGTCGGCGCTCTTGCGGCCCTGGATGAAGTACATGTCGCCCTTGGCCCACGAGGCCTGCGCAGCGTTGAGCCCGGCGCCGTCGACGCGGCGGCGCACGGCCACATCGCCCGTCTTGAACCATTTGCCGCGGCCGTCCTCGCCCTCGACGAACTCCTTGGCGGTGGCCTCGGGGTTGCGCCAGTACTCTCTGAAGATTGTGGGACCGCGGAGCTGGATCTCGCCGGAGCGCTCGCGGCCGGTGGCGGGGTCGACGTCCTCGCCCGGGGGGATGACGGCGCCGGTGTCCATGTCGACGAGGCGGGCCTCGACGCCGGGCAGGGGCCAGCCGACGCTGCCGTCGACGCGGTCGGCGAAGTCGAGGCCGCAGCTGAGGGCCATGCCGACCTCGGTCATGCCGTAGCGCTCGAGGAGGACGTTGCCCTTGCTGAGGATCTTCCAGGCCTCCTTGATCGGGGTCGGCAGGGCGGCGGAGCCGGAGATGGCGAGGCGCATGTGTTTCGGGGAGACGGCCTCGCGGGTGGGCTCTTCGGGGTCGAGTGGGAGGGCCTTGTGGGTGGCGAGGAGGCGGGAGTAGACTGTTGGCACGACGGTGAAGAAGGTGATCTTCTCCTTTGGGGGTGGTGCGTGGGTTCCGTTGACACCGTTTGTCCCGTTCGTGCCATTGGTCCCGTTTGTGCCGTTTGAGGTTATGAAGGGCGCGGCGAGGCGCTTCCAGACGGCGTCGGCGTTGAAGGGGAACATGAACTCGATCGTGGAGCCGGCGAGGAGGGGCGTGAGGACGGCGTTGACGGTGCCGTGGATGTGGTGTAGGGGCAAGACGTGCAGGAGGTGGTCTGCCGGGGTGTAGTTCCACGCCTCGATGAGGGACTTGGACTGCGCCGTCAGGACGGACTGAGGGAGCAAGACGCCTTTCTAGGTGGGGATGTTAGCTTGCTGTTCAATATCCAAAATTGAAACTCAATGGCTCTTCCTGCGTACCGGTCTGTTCGTAGTTCCCGAGGTGTAGAGCATCATGCCCGCACCGCCGGCGTCAGGGCTGTCCAGCTCAACCTGCTCGTGCGGGGCACCACCCGGGTGTTTCTCGAGTTCGAGCTGCGCGGGCTTCGAGACGAGCTCTGTTGCGAGGACCTCCTTCGCCTTGGCGGCGAACTTGGCCGAGGACACCAGGAGCGAGGCTTCGCTCTGGTTGAGGATGTATTGGAGCTCGGCCGCGGGGAAGGCCGGCGAGAGGGGGACGGCGATGGATCGGGCTGCGAAGGCGGCGAGAAGGGTTACTGCGGAGAAGCGCATAGAGTGTCAGGAGCAATGTTCGTATTTCAATGGCCTATGTGAAAGGAGGGTTTGGCAGTTATTGCGATCTCTTGGCTTACCTACATAGTCGTAGCTGTTCTCCACCAGGAACGCGATGCGCTCGCCGTTAAGGTCCGGCTTGCCGGACGACTCGAGCAGCTGCTTCCGCGCGCGGCGCACATCGCCGAGCAGCTCACCGTACTTGAAGCGGCGGCCGGAGAGGGAGTGGACGACGGCGGTGGACTCGGGGTCGTGGCGGGAGATGGCGTCGAAGAGGGGCAGCCTCGGGAGGGATGTCGTGGAAGCCATTCTGAGGGATTGCGAGGCGCGCGCAGCGGCAGCGAAGAATCGGGATGTTTTGAGACGCGGGGGAAGGTTGTTGTAGGTTGCGGACGGTACTCCGGCGGCGATGACGGCGGCGGCGGCTGAGAACGGTGTTGTTGGCGATGCTCGGGAGCAGCAGCAGCAGCAACCGGGCCGTCGTGCTACATTCCGCAAACCGGAGGCCAACATGGGTGGGGGAAAGGGGAGGGGGATCAAGATTGATATGCGTCCGTTATCAATTGCGTTATGATTAAGGGATCGGAGGCCGGAGTGGATATTGGGGGGGACGGACCCCGTCGATGTGGTAGGCAAGGCAAGGTAGTGTTGCTCTCGGGAGTCGGGTTAGGTAGGTGAGAGTGCAGTGCAGTGCAGTGCAGTCTGCAGCGTCGTGGTGTATGAGGTGCCGTCGGAACTTTTTTTTTTTTTTTTTTTTGGCCCTTCCTGTGCTGGTACTGGTAGCAGTGGTAAGTGGTGGTGGGTGGTCTGCGGCGGCGCTGTCAGGTCCCGGATCGGACTTCTCTGCAGGACCGCCGGCTGGATCTGCCGAAGACCGGACGGAAAACTGTGGCTTGCTTAGCGGGGCGTCGAGAAGCTTGGAGCACTCTGAGGTGGTGTGGTTGGTCTGTGATGCGGTGGAACGGTTCTCTGAAGGACAGTGGGAGTCGAGGGTGTGCGTGCGCCGCGGGTACAGTGTGGTGTCCGGCGCAAGTTGTGGTCCACGGAGGCCGTGATGGCGGCTGCTGTGACTTCCATGTTGGTGAAGGACCGTGGTGAGGTGAGGTGAGGTGAGGTGAGGTGGGTGGAGATGCCCACCATTCCAAGTTCATCCAATGTCGTGGGACGCGGGCAGGGTATGAATGAAGATGGGATAATCAGATGTTCCAGTCCAGTCTCTACACCAGCACGGCGGGCAGCAAACACCATCGTCACATCGTCACATCCATGGAAACAGTCAACAACACTACTACATCACCGCAGCACGCCGAGCGTTGAGAAACGTTAGTGGGGACCGTTTGAGGCGGCGGACCTTTGGGATGAGGTGCCTATCCGTCCCTCCATCGCGTAGCGTCCCATAGGGTTCCATTCTGTAGCTCAAGAGGGATGAGACGGACAGAAATGGGGGTGAAGTTGAGAAGAAGATGAAGGACAAGGCAAGACGTGTGCCTCTGTGCGCATGTCGGCTACGTATCCGTACATCTTGATGCTGCCCATCTCTCCTGTCGACTCACCTTCCTCACCGTCGGTACTTCGGCTCGCTCTGCTCATGTGAGGCCGTTGCTGCTGCTGCTGCTGCTTTCTCCTGCTTGATGCTTGCTACATCCTGCTTGCTGCGCTTCTTCTGCTTCTGCCGCTGCAAAACGGCGCCGCAATCACACGTCACCACCGCACTTTCACTCCTGGACTCTTGGAGTTCCATGCAAGGCCCACGTCGTCCTATTTAGAAGCTCAGTTATTCTCCGCCCTCGTGCATTGGCGACATTGTGAATCAACAACAGATAGAAAGTCTGGGACGGCCGACGGGGGCGTTTGGGCCTTGCTTTGGGTGCTTGGGGGATGGGAAGGGAAAAGCAGATATCTGGACACGCCTTTTTTTGTGATCAGGTGCCAATGGTGCCTTGCGCTAAAGCGGAGCTGTGCTGTGGTGCCCGCAAGGCCTCGTGCTCGCAGATGTCAGAGGAAGGGATGCGCGGTGACGGTGACGGTGACGAGGGGACGGTGACGGGGGTTGGGAAACACGCGGTGAGCGTTTCTCTGCGTGCGTCCTCTGCCGCCAGCAAGTGAGTGACTCCTCTGAGCTCTCTCTCAGAGGACACTAGCCTCTCCCACTCCGCGCGGGCGGTATGCAGCCCATGCTGTGGACGGTCAACAAATGTTCGAGATGGTCACCGCGTTGGACCCCCCGGTTCGTTTCTGTCCAACGTCTTCCAATGGCTTTCTAGCCTTCTTCCAGCCCGGCCCACCCTGCGCACTAAAATCGTAAATGTGACTCCTCATCATCCCTTTACCGTCCATTGGGATGTGACGGGACCGGCATGGGGAGGACACACCACGGGTTTTGACAAGGGGGCAGATGGTCCGTGGAAAGAAGCAAAGAAGAAGGGCGGTGGGCATAACAGCGAACCAGAATCCAATGCAAAAGCAAAGCTAACCACCTCACCTCACACTCACACGAGGAAGGCCTGGCGCCAGGCCCAGGGTGTGTACTATGGTAGGCAAGAAGCTGAACCCAAAGGTGTCAGCCAAGCGGCGGGAACACGGGGAGAAGGGGGCGGAAAAAAAGTAAAAAAAAAAAAAAAAGAAGGTGAACCATGGAAGGGCACCGCTTGGAGGGGCGATGGGCACATCTGGCACCATGGACCTGGTTGCAAAGAACAGCCCGACCCAACCCGTGGGCCCGGCCAGCGAA